GATTGAAGCAAACAATGGATGTCACAAGTAAGCATGTTATGAATATAAAAATCACCAGAAATATCATTAGGGAAAAGATCAATATAAATCAGATCAGATTTATTAAACATGTCAAAAACAGAAAGAATGCAAAAGAAAGTAATATGTTCAAAGAAGACCACGTGTCTAGACTCCAGATACATATAATGTTTTTGCAATAAAGTAATAACAATGATACCTTTTTTATCCCTCACCATCTAAGAAGCAAGGACGTGGATACGATATGACACGAACACGCCGATACAAATTTTTTCAAAAAAGTAGTACACGGACACATTTGGGATACGTTAAATAATATATATTTATATATATAAACTATATATATATATATATATATATATATATATATATAACTATGTGATAAAATAAATATCATCATAATAAACTTTTAATTCATCATTTCCCTAATTCTAAAAATTCACATCATAATATAATTGCATAAAAAATACAATATAAGATATGCCAATAAACATTTAATATTAACATTCATGATCCAACAATCAATGACTACTACAACTTTTATTTTTAAAAATATTTCACGCAAAACTAATTTTCATCAATATCAAAGAACCCCAATTTTGTAATGTCATTTTTTCTCACATTCCTTTCATATTAAAAGTTTATTCCATTTATATATAAGTTCATATTCGTATTCAAAATTATGTTACATTCATGTCCTATGTTCAATATAGCAATTATAACTCCTTTTATATTTATTATGACTTTCACTCATTTCTTTAAAATTATAAAAATAACTCCTAATTATAAAATTATCTAAAAGGTTCTCAAAAATTCAAAAAAAAAATATTGCAAAACGTGTCCTAATAGTGTCGGTTGTTTATGACTAATGTGTCCTTCAAAAAATTTAACAACAAAAAAATTGGACACTTATTTTAACGTGTCTGAAGTGTGTCGATGTCCTCGATGAGCTCAACACCGACACTCTGACCAAAATAAAGTGTCTGTGCTTCCTAGCTCATCATAACCAAGCAAAACACACCCAGTAGAACGAGCAGACAACTTATTTCTTTTAGATTTAGGAAGAAAAACAAAACAAGTATTACCATACACATGCAATAAGTAATTAGGAGGTTTACCATATAACCTTTCGGTTGAAATAGTAAAAGCAATATTATGGTCGAGGGAAAGAGAAGAAGAACAAGAATAATCAATTGTATGTAGTGGCTAGGTTGCCCTACACTCTTTATTTATAACTAATCAATTTTAAGGTAATTGCAATATTGCCCTAGACTAATTAACTTATGTCTAACATAGAAATTAAGAACTCTAATACTCCCCTTCAAGTTAGAGCATATAGATTAAAAACACCCAGCTTGGAATATAAACTACTAAAGGTAGACCAAGTCAATGGCTTGGTAAGAATGTCTCCCTGTTGATCACGAGACTTGATATCTGGAGTAATGATCTCCTTTCGCATTAAGAAATCTTTGATGAAATTGCAATTCACCTCAATGTGTTTGGTATGATCATAAAATACCGGATTACTTGCAATAAAAATAGTTGTTTTGTTATCAGAATGTATTTTTTTATCGAGTATGATCATCAATAAAAGAAATATATAGTATCAAGAGCCCCTGTTGGTTACAATAGGGGCAGGATCCCACACATCAGAATGAACAAATCGAACGGTAAAGTTGTGAATTTGACAAGTTTACAACCACTACAATCAGAAATATCATGACTATTTAAATTTCCTAAAGCATCAGTAAAAACTAGAAGTCTCAAAAGAGAACTAGAAATATATTCAAGACGAGAATATCATAAATGAAATACAAAAGACTTAGGGTCATAGTTATTAAATTGAGATTCGTATCGAGAATCCAAATCTTAGATTTAAGGATCAAGAATCGTATCAAATCAGAAATCTTAAGATTTGACACAAAATTCAAATAGTGATAAAAAAAATAACATGTATATGTTAAAATAGACGAGATATTAAATATTGAACATTATTGTATTTAAAATAATTAATTGAAGGTATTGAAGTGGTCACGTCGTCTAAATAAAAATCGTTTGTACCTATGTTACTTCTTTCTTAACGCATAATAAATCGTTTCCTTAAAATGGCCACAATGAAAAATGTATGATTTTTAACCAACAAATAGTTATTGTCTTCCTACTAATGAAGTTAAACTAAAATAGGAAATGTCCATACTGATACGAACATATAAACTTAGAAAATCACTTCCCACATTCGATTGAAAAATACATTTTTGACGGAAAAACAAAAAACAAAGCATTTATTGAAGAAGAAGTAGGATATGTTAGAATTTGGTAGTTGTTTTTGAAGAAAAAGAAGCACACCAGGAATGAAAGAGAAGTTCTCTCTTTGTGATGTTCATAGACACTTGAACAATTACTTGAGAGGTAGAAACACGAGTTTTATATTTGGGGGTGGGTCTCGTCTAGTAAAATGATGTCGTTTTTACCAGAAAAAGGGTTAAAAAAATAATTAAACGAATCATGTGACTCCTTCAATTCGAATCTAATCGTACAATTCTTGCGAATCAACTGCAATTCTAGGCCAAAAATGATTCTATAGTATGCAACGAATCAAATGGGGACTAAATCGAATCAAATTGTACGAATCAAATCCCAAATCTTATGATTTTGATAACAATGCTTAGGGTTGAAACAAAAGGAAGACAAATCAATAGAAAGAGTAGCCACAGCTGAAACATGCAATTTTTCTTGCACATATACTTCTTCAACCCGATGGCCTGTCCTGTCCCAATCATCGTCTGAGAATGAGTATCTTGCACAGTACAACTAGCGGAGGAAAATTGAACAATGTAATTAAGATAGAAAGTTGACTGATAAAAATAAAATTGAGAGATAATTGATGGGTACAGTAAACCTTAGAAAGAGAGAGAAGTAAAGTCATAACAAATCCAACCCTACCACCGATATGGAAGTCCCACTGGCAGTTAGAATAGTGGTAGGGGGAGAAGGGGATGAGGCAGACGAAAACAAAGATGGATCATTAATCATATAAAGTGTAACACCGGAATCAAAGACCCAAGAAGAGTAAGATAAACTTGAAGGTGTTGATAAAGGCAAGCCTATAGGAGATGAAACAGACAACATTACTTCCATTTTCCATAGTGCGAGTTCTCAAAACTCTTATTTCCTTCCTTCCATAACTCTTGCTTCAACACCAAACCTTTTTTTTTTAACCTTAGTCAAGGATAGAAGAAATGTTATCAGACTCGGACCAGACCGATGGGTCAACCCAAAAGCCCGATGCCCAAAGCCGGGTCAGATCTTAAGTTAGATCCCCCTTCTGCGCATTCCAACAGCTTAAGACCCCTCTAAACCGATCAATTTTGGTAAAACCCAAAGAAACCAGATAAACCAGACTACCTAAATGAATTGGTCAAATTAAACAATTTTTCATGTCTTTAGAAATCAAATAAGTGGCTGCCACGCCTCAGCAAGGCTCCCTCATGGCTTCCACTGGATTGTTTTCGCCCACAATTCAAAGCAATCCAATTGGAGTGGCTGAAGTGAACATTTATAGGCCACATATTGTTCTTGTCTTCCTTGACCTTCCAATGTGGGATGATATTCGCTGTGAAATGTCATCTGCCTTCTAATGTCTTAATCACTTGTCTTTTGTCATCACATGTTACTACTTTTCAATGCCTGTTGATGGATTTTTTTAAGCTCTATTAAATTTATAAATTGTCTAATAAAATTGATGAATTATGAAAAATTTTAGTGTTTTTATTTGATCTCATATTACATAAAACATGGCATTTTTTGTAACTACTATAATTTTTTTAGCATATTCATCTTATTAATAATTATTTTTATTTCTTAATTATAAGACCGGTTCGACCAATTGACCCAACGGTTGAACCAGTGACCCGATCCTTTTGCCGGGTTGAAGTCCAATCCGGTTTTAATAACTATGGATAGAAGTAGTAGGCTGCAATTAATGCACTCTTCTGGGGCAAAATCTACAATTTGTTGGATTGATTCTAAAATTTCTACAGCTAGTGAAAATTTAGGGTTTTCTCCATAATTTTAAAAAATTTTAAGAAGGTAACACAATAGCAGCCACAAGTACAACCCTGTTCATGTTACTGTTCACAACACTGTTCATGCTACACTGATTGCAAATCCAAAGAACGACAACTAATGGGAATTGGCTTTGATACCATGAAAACTTACATAAACTTGCAAATAAGAAAATACATCCGAAAAAGAGTAAGATAGAAAAAAAGACTGCTACACCAAACCTACTACAAGAGAAAGACTAGAATACCCCTAATAGTAAATAAGCTCAAATATAACTCCAAACTAAGTATTTGGATTAGTTTTGGAGTCTTGGATATTCTAGAATACCATTGGAAGTAGAAAGCCAAGTATTCCCTTATTCTTGAATCAAAAACTTGATAATTTGAATAGAACTAAGAGAATCCTGCAGCCAATAAATACCAATTTAAACTTTATATTCAAGAAGAGACTGACATCGTGTTTGTGTGATTAAGCTTTCTTTTTCTATTATTTCTTCTTTTTCCCATTATCTCAATTCTCCAAATCTGATGCCATCACCTTGCCACCATACATGTCCTAGTTTGAAGCCCAATCCTTACCTTCCACGATACCAACCATAAATTACCCGAAACGAGCCTTATTATTGTCCATAGCTATACTTTAGTGACCATAAACAATCCCAAAGCTTCTCCTTCTTAGCTAATGCAATCCCCAAAACCATCACCACTTGCACCTATTTAAGGCCTAAAAGTCCAAACCTTTACCAGTCCTTTGACATCAAAGACAAACCTTAACAAGGAATTTTAAGGGTTTTTCCACTGCTCAACATTCATTTTGGTATCATAGTGCATAAGAGATTCTTTCTCTGCACTTGTCCGATGTCAGCTCACTATTGGAACCAATATAATTAAAAAATTTAGAAGTAGGAATGTTCCACATTAATTCAGTATGTTGAGAGGCATGTGCTTAAAAAATTCCTTGTTTCCAACCTTGAGAAAAGAATTCAGACGTGCAGTTGTCTGTATAAGCCCCATGATAAATGATATAACCATAAGAACAAGCCCAGTGAAAGTGTGGACCAAGAGTACCACGTTCTGCATGCACAACAAAAACATCAGCACAGGCAGAAAAAGAGCAATATCAGCTTACACAGCAAAATACAGACTAGCACTACCTGTGCCATGCTGTGTTCATAAAAGAAAAAAGTGAGGCAATAGGTTGATGATGCAATAGCAAGTCCATATTCCAGAAACATAAGACCTGTGGGCAGTAAAGAATCCCTTCCAATGAACTGATCCAAACCTACAAAACCACAGTGAACTTTATTGAGCTGTCAGGAAAAGAAACCAGCAAGAGGTATTTGCCATGAGAGAAAATGAAGAGAGGGGTTAAAATATGAGTGCAAAGGTAGAAAATTTGTTTAGTATACTTTGCATAAAATTGCACAATGTTTGAAGTATTTTATACTTTAAGTTACACCATCACAAACAACTCAAGCTTTTGGGTGGGTATGGGTTCTAAACATTGGGCCTTGAAGATTGGGCTCTCAGTCTCCAAACAAATAGTATTAGAGCCGATAGCTAACGATTCTGGGTGAACTCTAGAATTCTAGAAGAAGCGGTGCAACGTGCCGGTACCAATGATGACTCGTAAAAAAAAGTAATGGGTTCTTAATATTGAAGTCATGACAATGCAACTAAAATAAAAGAGCAGGGCGTGGGCCTGGGCGCAAAGCCTCTTGGAAGTGTAATTATGCGGTAACACATAAAAGAGTTGTAAAAGCTTTGTTCCAGGAAGAGCAGACCCTTATAAAGAATGGTTGGATGCAATGCTTGTGGAGAGTGGTGGGTCAAATTTAAGGGGAAACAAAGCCCAATGTGGTTCACACATGAGGGGGGAATTGTTGGATATTGCATGTATGGAAATCTCACATCAAGTAAAAAAATAAATTAAAGCGTCCCAATATATAATGGATGGGTTCACCACTTATAGGCTTAAATTTTTAGGCAAGTATGAGTCCCAAACATGTATATTGGGCTTTGAAGATTGGGCTCCTAGTCTCCCCACATATTCATGGTATCGAGCCATGAGATCCTTTATTCGAATCTCGCCGTCACCTTAGTTATAAAAAGATACGTACTAGGCCCAAAAATTAAAATGCATAAGTGGGGATGTATTTAAGTATAAATATTTAAATTACACCATCTCCAACATTTTAAGTTTTTGGAGTAAATGATTGTTTAACACACATATTAACATCCTTTGCTAATGATGTGGATGAAATGAAAATAGAATTTTAGAAGCCACATATAACTATGAATTATCTTCATTTTTAAAAATGTGTCAAAATTTGATTGTTTAGATCCTAACATACATATATTGATATCAATATCAAACGGATGCAATTGGGATATTTTATGTAACCTAAAGAATAAGATTAAAACAAAGAAGACATATTGTTGAACCAAAGAATCCATAAGCAATAGGTCTTGTCGAACTTCAATGCAAAGTTGAAGTTCCTATCAGCAGAGATGTTGATATTTTCATTGTTCTTTCACTAAAATGAATGATATCGACCACACATCAATAGATATCATAGACTGATAAATTCATAGTTGTCAAATCGCGTATCGGAAGATGTATCGTCTTTTAAAAATAGTGTATCGTGTATCGTGTATCGTAAGATAAGATGCAATTTTAAATAATTAATAATAAAATATATGTTCACAAATTTTAGAGTGTCTATATATAATTTATTAACAGATATATTTACAATAGGGGTTTAAGTGTTATGCGTGTATAAACTTTAGGGAGTCTGTGTGTAATATTTCAAATATTAGGGAGTCTGAGTGATTAAGTGACAAACTTCCAGGGGTCTAGGTGTAATTCTACCTATTTAAAACATAGTGCCTGATCAAAAAAAAAAAGATTAGAGGGAAAGATCGTGAGAGCGATCGAGAGGCAGCGAGAAAGATCGCGACAGCAATCGTAAGACAAGTGGGATCATAAGACAGAGCGGGAAGAAGAAGTGTTTTCTAAAATCTGAAGAAAAATCAACCTAAAGTTTCATCCGAAATTTACAGATTAGTGTTGCTATTTTTTTCAATTTCAAAAATTTATTTGCTTTGCTTTTGCTTGGGTTTTTTTGCTGATTTGCTGGTTTGGTGGACTGGTAATTCTTCTCTTCATTTCTATTTTTGTTGATTTACCGTACATTCTAATCAAAAAAAAAAAAAAAACAAAGACTTCGTATATCGTTCGTATCGACCGATACGTATCGTATCGTAAAACTATACAAAAAGGATACAAAACTCCAATTCGTATCGTTTTACCTCTATATCGTGACGTATCGCACAATACGTATTGCGTATCGTACGATACTAACAACTGTGGATAAATTATAAAACATTCACCCCACTATCCAGTGTCTAGCGATGCACTATCATAGTCTATATATTTTCAACTTAAAAAGCTATAGAATAAAAGGACAACGTGGTACATTGAAAATTTGTGACCTCTATAAGTCAACTTCAGTTACTCCAGAAGTCTATGATTAATCCATGACTAAGGCATTCTTAAATTCTTTGCAACACACCGATACAGCCAGAAATGAAGTCCCAATACGTACCAAATATGTAAAAGAGAACTATTGCAAAAGATGCAGGAAACAAGAAGCTGATGAAGTCCCATATGTATGTAGAAGCCCAATATGAAAGTATGGACACCTGAGTATGATTTAAACAATTACAAAATGAACGTTGCTAGCATAAATTCAGGCAGGACAAAATAAAGAAGCTAAATTTTTAAAATCATACACACCCCACTTATTAATTGCTGATGCTTAGCTCTCACTTCCCGTTCCTGCATCAAACAAATATATGCTTACATTCTAGAACCACAATCATATGATTTAAACATTTACTAGAACAGCAAGATCCAAAGTAGAGAGCATACAATGTATTGAGCATTAGCATTGCTTACTTATACCACCCCCACATGTAAAATAATGCTTAGAGTGCATTGTGTATTGCCCATACATGCTGTTACCCCTCCCCCCCT